CGTGAAAGGGTTGTCGCATTTAATGTTGTAGGAGCATCATTAATAGCTGATGTGTGGTGCAATAACTTTGCAGGATCTTTGTCTGCTTACGTGGCTGATTACCTGCTTGACAAGTGTTTAGATGCCATTAGTTCCCGGTTCAACATTGTGTTTTTAAGAGTGCTGGGCTTTAGCACTTGAACCGTGAATTGGACTCTAAGTCGCGGGCCAAAACCTTTTGTGAGCCCACTGATGTCAATTATTATAGAATTAAGGGTCTTTAGAGACGAGACTAGCAATCTTAGGGAGAGGTGATATTAAAATCTAATTGTATAAAATTGGAGATAGAAATATTATTTTACCTTTCACTTTATAAAAATAATAAAATATTTTATATAACAAAGGGTTTAAAGGAAGTTTATAGATTTATTCCCATACAACTAATGTCACTATACAGAGGGTGTTTTTTTTTTTAGAAGGTGGAGGTCATGACCCTCTACAAAATGGGAACGTCACGCAACATAACCTGCACTAAATGCTCAGGAACCCCAACCATCCAAACTTGCTTCTCTGGATCCTCCTTAGCCATTTGAGCCAATTGATGAGCCATAACGTTGTCACTCCGTCGCGTGTGCGAAACACAGAAACTCGAAAATTGCTTACTACGATCGATGGCATATTATAAAAAATGACCAAACAAAGCACTAAGATGACTATCTTCTTGCATTGCCTTGACCACAGTAAGGGAATCACCTTCCAATTGAATGTTTGTTAAGCCCAACTCTGCTGCAAAATTCAGAGCCTTGGCAGCAGCAATAGCTTCAATACAATCAACCTCCATCTATTGTGGAATTTTCTCTAATAAAGCTGCAAGAGGTACGCCATTATGATCACGAATCACAACCCCTACCCCACAGGCCTTCTGCCACATGAACATGGCCCGTCGAAGTTCACTTTAAGAATTGCCCCAATCAGCGGTCTCCACTTCACAGTTCCCTGAGCCACTGGAATACCACGCACAGTGGAATGAGCCCGCTCAAAATCTCGCACTAAATCACACACCATTTGAATTGTCGCAGCAGCTAAGTGAATGACATTACTAAAAATAGCTTGATTCCGCGATGACCACAAACACCAACAAATGGCGAAAAACAAACCTAGTGTGGCTTTATCCGTCCGACGTCCAACTCCATATGCCTAACCCATAAAGTCACCACCAACACCGTGATCAAGCACAAACGATATCGGACTTTGATTCCAGACCTCCCACGCCCTCATACAACCCCATAAACAGTGCATTACCATTTCTGCTTCATCCCCACATCCATCACACCTATCCTCCGTCAGTATATGTCGATGCTGAAGAACTGATTTAACCGGTAGAATATTGGAACAACACTTCCACGCAAAGACCTTAATCTTATTGGGAATGCGAAGGCTTCATACTTGCTTCCAAAACCAGATAACATTTTGCACATCAGACCCAGACCCAGACCCGCGCGCCTCCCGTACACTAATATTCATTTGCAAATGATAAGCCGATCGAACCGAAAACAGCCCATTCCTCGTATAGTGCCAAACCAATTTATCGGGAATGCCGTAACAACAAAGAGGGATTTGCTGGATTGCATCCACGTCCATCTACACTAATATTTATTTGTTTATTTTTTTAGATTATATTTTCTTTTTATTTTTTTTACAATTTTTTTCATAAACAATGAAAAAATATATTTATTTAAATTATTTCAAACAACTCCGAAATATTTCTTAGAGATTAATTGAGAGGCGTGTAAATTGGCCCAAACAACCTAAGTCATAAAAAAATGTATATATATATACATATCAAGTAGGTTAAAAACTAGTAACTTTTTGTTTTTTGTTTTTTGTTTTTTTTTTAAGGGTAAATTATATTGACACCCTAAGGTTTCTGTTTAATACAGATTGTCTCTCACGTTTGAAAAATTACATTCCCCTTCTTAAGGTTTGTAATCTCATTACAAATTGTCCCCTAAATTGCTGATGTTATACTTTAAAATTTTCTAAATGACCATTTTACCTTTTTCCTATCATTTATTCTATCATTATGACTATATTTTACAACTTTGTATCATTAAATTCTACCTAAATATATTCTTATTGAATGATGATATACAAACATAAATTTTATATAAAATTTTAAAACACAATAATATAGTTTAATGATGACCTTTCACTTTAAAATAAAATACTCATAAATATGATTTATATTTACATTATCACTATCACAATCACAATATTTTTATAATATTTTGTCACGACCCGCTCCCCGTACCCAAGGGTTAAGTATCGTGATGGCCAGTAACTAGGGTTACCTGTAGCCAATTCATAACAAATCAATAAACGCGAGCGGAAGTAAAATTTAAATAAAGGTACCAAAATAATCATTGGAGCTTCTACTTTTATTACAAAATGTATTGACCCAAAAAGGCCGATATTTACATATAAAAATATCATAACAAATATTGTGTGTGTGTCTATTTCGCAGCCCTGCATCTAAGACTTTCCAGAAGCTATTTCTGAATTGCATGTTTCCTGAAAATTGGTAAAAAATTATAAGCACATGGCAGAGTGAGAAACATTATACTAAGAGTATAAGGGACACGAAATAACCATGGATCGTTAGTTAGGCCAAAACGTTTACATAACTCAGTTTGGTAAATAAATCAGTAGTCACCAAATCATTTAAGTAGCAGAAACTGAAATACATAAATTATGTCAGTAAATGACCATAACCACGGTACAGAACAGAACAGAGCAGAGGTCACAGGAGTGACAGTCAGAACAGAGGTACGGATTCAAGAGGTGGCTCGTACGGATTCTAGAGGTGGCTCCCACAATAGTGTAGCACTTAGTTCTGCACAGCACTTTGGTCCGCACAAAACAGAGGTCAATGGATCCATGACAAACAAAGACCCACAAAGTGGCCAACCAGAAGCCGATGGTTATTTAAGTCCCTTAAGGCATGGGACTCCGTGATGGTACTTACAAAACATAATTGTTTATAAGGTCATAGTCAAATATTCTTTAAAAGTAAAACAAACATATCCATGGGTTTCCTTTTAAGCAAATAGGGTTCAGAAGATAAACTACGTAACTGAAATCTTTATAAAACATAATTTTTATTAAAAACATAACTTGTATAAAATAAATTTTGGTAAGTCAAAACATACGTAAAATACATTTTGATGACTCAAGATATAATATAATTCACCTTAACTTTAATACCTTACTCTTTCTTTCCACTATCGATCCCTTCAACTCCCACTATCCTTTTCTTTTCCTTCTCTTTTCTTTCTTCCCTTTCTTCTTTCTTTTCTTTCCTACATTCTGATCCCTTCTTCCCTAGTTATAGGAAAGTGACGCCACTAACAAGCCAACACGTGGCCAATCCGTATCTCCTGCGGAGCTGCTTCTTAATTCACCTGATTTGCTTGTTATCAACGAAGATTTGTATTTATCTTAAATTTAGAGTAATTATATTTTGACCCAATGTTTTGATATAATTATATAAATTAATTAATTCTTAATTAAATTACATTTTATCGTATATTAATAGAAAATTATTTATTTATTATACTACCACACCTATTATTATTATTATTATTATTATTATTTATATTATCTATATTATTTTTATTTATATTTTGACCCCTAAACTTTTAATAATTATATTATTTTACAAAATTACACATAATAATATATAATAAATTATATATTTTCTTAACTGAGATTAAATAATATTAGTATAAATTCTATAGAATAATTAAAAATCTCGGTTGTTACATATTTTTTGTATGAATTTTTATATATGAATATAATTTTTCATTTTTATTTCCACTATCATTTTTCTTTCTCGTCTATACACCCATATTTACTTCAGTATTATCAAATACCATCATTCACATTTATTACAATATTAGTGAATTTTTTTATTTTTTTATATTTGCTGAATTTAAAAAAATCACAAATATTATACTTTTTAAGTATATCTAGATTAAGTATATCTAAAAAATAAAAATTACTTAAAATATTAAAAAAAAATATTCAGTAGAAATAAAAAAAAATTATGAAAAATTGAAAAAAAATTATTTTTTATGTGAATTAAATCAAACAAGATAATTGTTATTTATCTTAAAATGGCATAAACAAAATATTAATATATTTTTATTTATATTTTGACCCCTAAACTTTTAATAATTATATTATTTTACAAAATTACACATAATAATATATAATAAATTATATATTTTTTTAATTGAGATTAAATAATATTAGTATAAATTCTATAGAATAATTAAAAATCTCGGTTGTTACTTATTTTTTGTATGAATTTTTATATATGAATATAATTTTTCATTTTTATTTCCACTATCATTTTTCTTTCTCGTCTATACACCCACATTTATTTCAGTATTATCAAATACCATCATTCACATTTATTACAATATTAGTGAATTTTTTTATTTTTTTATATTTGCTGAATTTAAAAAAATCACAAATATTATACTTTTTAAGTATATCTAGATTAAGTATATCTAAAAAATAAAAATTACTTAAAATATTAAAAAAAAATATTCAGTAGAAATAAAAAAAAATTATGAAAAATTGAAAAAAAATTATTTTTTATGTGAATTAAATCAAACAAGATAATTGTTATTTATCTTAAAATGGCATAAACAAAATATTAATATTATTTTATTATTTTATATATATAAAAGTTAAAAAATAAATATATCATTTTAATTTAACAAAAAATAAATATAATTTTTTAAATGTAAAAAAAGATTTGTATTAAAAAAAAACTTTAAGAGGTGTCAGTAATTTACCATTTTTTAAAAACGGTGTAAAAAAAGTTAAAAATTGATATACTAAAAAAAAAGTTAAAAATCGGAATCTACTTTTAACCTCATCCACAAAAGAAACCCATATCATGCATAAATAAAAGAATAATATTAATAAAAACAAATTTAATACCATCACACACTATTAATTCCGAAACATAATCCTAGTATAATACTAATTCGTCCCAAAACGTAATTTCAACGAGTACAATCTTCCATCCCCTCCCTTCCGCTACATAAATTTGCCACCAAGGATTTTAGAGTGTTTTTTTCTTAAAATTTTTTAAAATGATGTATTGTGTGACTCAGATTTAATATTAAAAAATTAATATAACTTGTCATTAAATTTCAACCACACAATACATTTTTTAAAAAAAAACTCTAGAGGATCTTGCAATAAATTTGCAGTCACTGCACCGCTTCACAAGCGACACACAGCAACCCTAGAGAGAGAGAGAGAGATGGGAGTGGTGATAATAGACGGGTCGACAGTACACGCCTTCGTTGGGGACGATGAACAGTTCAAGAAGAGCATGGACGAGCATTTTGCTGCTCTCGACATCAACGACGGCGTTTTGTCTCGATCGGAGCTTCGGAAGGCGTTCGAGTCGTTCAGGCTGATGGAGACCGACTGCGAAGTGGACGTGGCGATGCCGCCGGAGGAGTTGACGAGTCTCTACGACTCCATCTTCGACAAGTTCGACTGCGACAAGAGCGGAGCCGTGGAAATCGATGAGTTCAGGTCCGAGATGAAGAAGATCATGCTTGCCATCGCTGACGGACTTGGTTCATTGCCCATCCAAATGGCTCTCGAAGACGACGATCAGAGCTTCCTCAAACAAGCCGTCGATCTCGAGGCCTCTAAGTCTAAGAATCAGCTTTGACTCTTAAGTCGGTTTGGTTCATCCAACGGTTCAGAACTGCCTTCCTTACCTATTAAGTAATTGAGAGCTTTGTTTTTTAGTTTTGCTTGTTCTTATTTTTTAAATCTTTTATTTCTTATGCAAACGTTCCTTATATATGGTATAAATTCTAGAACCTCCTACAAACTCTCATCTCTCACTGCAAACCACCTGCCCTCGCGACGGTGGTGGCAATGGAGGGCTGTGAATAGTGTATAAACAAATAAAAGCGGATGATTGAGAGATTGGTGGATGGAAGAAAATTTTGGATTTTGAGAGATTGGTGAATGAAAGAAAAAAAAAAAGTTCGAGAGATTGATGGAGGAAAAAAAAAAAAAAAAAAAAAAAATTAAGATTTCAAAATTGAAGATGAATATTATTAGAAAAAAAGAATGTGCAGAGAATTTTTATTTTTTTGTGTTCATGTGTAGTGATTTTACTTAACGAAAATAGACAGATAGATTCAAATTTAAATTGATAAAATTAAAATTTTAAGTTTATTTTGTTATAAAGTTTATATCAAATTTTTTAAAGAAATTTTACATAATTTTATAAATTTAATTTCGACCAATTAATATTTTTTTTTTTGATCAGCAAAAGAGAACTTTATTGATGATAAAAACATACACATACATATGATTTGAACATCAATAAAGAGGTGGAAGAGATACTCACCGTTGCGTCCAACTTAACCAAAGAAACATAACCATAAAGTTTTTATTTTTTATTCTGATGTTTTCAAAAATAAAATTTAAGTAAATAACAAATTAACAAAACTCTCATCGTTATCATTTTTTTTTTTTGTTTTAAATAACAGTTTTGAAAATTTATAAAACAAATTGAAAGTGCTTTTCAGATAAAGTGACAAATTATATCTCGTGCTCTGTCTTCAAGAAACCATAAAGTTTTTTTTAAAAGATATAGTGTCATTTTGGGAACATGGTAAAAAGTCACGTTTTTGAAAAAACGTGGCTGCCAAAAAAGCCAAAAAAGCTATTTGGCAAGTGTTAAAAACGCAGCCCTAAAATTACAAATTAGGGCCTATGAAAAATAAATAAAAAAATAACTCTCTTATGTTGGGTAAGGGTATTTTGGTCATTTTAGTTTGATTTGACACCATAAATAAATATTAAACTAAAAAGCAAAAAGCCAGCTTTTTACCAACTTTCCAAATCACTTCCAAAAAAGCCAAAAAAACTTGATAAAAAGTCAAAAGCCAACTTTTTACCAACTTCCCAAAACAACTTATATTTTGAATAAAGGGTCTAGCTTGTTATTATAATAGTAGTAGTAATGAGATAGGTAGAACTAATTCCTATCTTGAGAGGAAGACAAGGTTAACCACTCTATACGTGGGACTCAAGCGAGACATTTGGGACAAAAAAAACTCTATGGTCCCATAATATAAACCAGAATATCAAATCCATGGTCCATATCTTTTGTAAATCTTGACCATTGATTTTAAATTTTGAATATTTTTTGGGTATTTACTTCTAAGATTTTAGTATTCAGTTCCGTTTTGTAGTTTGAAAGGCCCGAGTTCTTTGTACACCCACCCCCATTTCTTTGTACAGGTCATCCCTGTTACAAAACTCACACATTTCATTGCAAATAAAAAAAAAGAAAAGAAAAAAGAACAGAGTAGAGAGAGGGAGAGAGAGGAGACCCATTAGCGCCGACGAGGTTGTGTATGCAAAAGGGTGCCGCCGACGAGGCTACTGCTGCTTCTACTAGTACCGACGAGTGCTGTCGCTATTGCTGTGTGTGCAAAAAGATGTTGCCGCTGCTGCTGTGTATGCCGAAAGGTGTCGTCGCTGCTCCTTGATTCATGCTGTTTATGATAATTTCATGTTGCTTATGATACATTCTCCTTGACTCATTAGTTGGTTTTGTTTTTTATTTAGGGTTTTGCATTGGGTGATTAAGAATTGATAGCAGAAAAGGATCACATTACAAAAATTTGTTCTTTGAATATGTTCTTGAAGAAGCTGTTCTTTGAACTCTGTAAAAATCTGCTGGGTGGAAATTTTTCTTGTCACATACTCCCTCCGATTTCAATTGGCTAGAATTTTGTTATTTTTCTTATTTTGTGGAATGTCTCATGGTTTAAAAATTCAGTAATATTCACTTAATTTTCTATCTAATCCTAATTTCACCTCCTTGATTCATAAATTTTACCTCTGAAAGGAGCCACAATCATTACTTTCACCTCCTTGATTCATGCTGCCTATGATAATTTTATGTTGCTATATTGTTAATTTTGCTTCTTTAAAGTTGTTTACCTTTTAATTGAAGGGAACCTGTCCCGTGTATCTGTGCTTAGAAACACTATTATTTTTTTTTCAGTTTGAAAATGAAGTGTAAAAATAAACCTGCAAAGGGATGAAAAATTGAGTTTGTTTGTGTTGTTGTTGTTGTTGTTTTGAACAATTTGTATTGTTCTTGATTGCTTCCTTATAATGTTGCTTGTTGTGTGATAAGAATATTAATGGAGGCAATCAGTGTTTTGTCTACTAACTCTCTTAATGTCCATTTTATTTCACTTTGAAGCTACAATGGATATTGATTCAAAGAATAATTTATTCAATGTGAGTGAGGAAGTTGAAGAACAAGATAACAATCTTGAATTTAATGAAAGTGGTGAAGTTGAAGAACCGAAGAAGGGGATGTATTCTATCTCAAAGCAAGAAGTGTACGCATTTTATGCAAAATATGCAAAACAACTTGGATTTGCTATAGCTTATAGAACACAAAATGTAACAAGGGATGGGGAAGTAAAGTACTTTGGAATTGAATGTACTCGGGCACAGAATAGAACAAAAAGATCAGAAGTAAATCCCCTCAAACAATCTTTGTCATCAAAAAGTTGATTATAAAGCAAGGGCAAGAGCCAATCTACAAAAAGATGGAAGATATAAGTTAACCACAGTTGTGTTTGAGCACACTCATGATTTCATTCCTACTGACTCACGGCATTTTGCAATGAATAAGAAAATTCTTACTCCGGTGAAGAGGAGACTAAAAGTTAATGATGCAGTAGGGATTGGGGTGGCTAGAATTTTCATTCCATAGTTGTTGAAGCGGGGGGATATGAGACATTAACGTTTAATGAACAAGATGTAAGGAATTATATTCAGAATACTAGAAGGTTAAGACTTGGGATAGGAGATCCCGAATCAGTTACACTTTATTTTCATAAAATGCAAGAACAAAGTTCGAACTTCTATTCGACAATTGACCTTGATGAAAATGGTCGCATGCGAAACTTGTTTTGGGCAGATGCAAGGAGTAAGGCGGCTTATAAAGCATTTGGGGATGATATCTCTTTTGACACAACCTATTTAACAAACAAATATGATATGTCATTTGCTCCGTTTGTAAGAGCTAATCACCATGGACAGTCAATTTTGTTTGGTTATACATTGTTAAGTAATGAGAACATTGAGACATTTGTTTGGCTATTCAAAGAATGGTTAAGTTACATGTTAGATGCTCCCCCAAAAGCGATAATAACTGACCAGTGCAGAGCTATGCAAAATGCCATAGAAATTGTCTTTCCACAAGCTCGACATCGTTGGTGTTTATGGCATATTATGAAGAAAATTCCAGAAAAATTGAGAGGATATTTGCAATATGAATCCATAAAGGTTGCTTTGAGTAATGCAATTTTTGATTCATTCACAAAAGATGAATTTGAGAAATACTGGAAAGCAATGATTGCAAAATTCAATCAGAATGATAATGAGTGGTTGGAGGTATTATACCGTGAGCGACATAGGTGGATTCCTACCTATGTTAAAGACATATTTTGGGGTGGCATATCAACTACACAACGAAGTGAGAGCATGAATACATTTTTTGATGGATATGTAAATTCCAAGACAACCTTAAAGCAATTTGTTGAGTAGTATGATAATGCCTTGAGAAGTAAAGTAGAGAAGGAGACAAAAGCAGATTTTAAGTCTCGTAACAAATTGTATGATTGCGTAACGGTGTATCGTTTTAAGAAACAATTTCGTGCAGCTTACACTAAGTCAAAATTTAAAAAAGTTCAAGCAGAAATGAAGCGTCTAGTGTACTGTCGTGCAAATCTTATCAAAGAAGAGGAAGCAATTTGTGCCTGTCATGTGAGAGAGGCTGTTCTTCTGGGTGAGGGAATGAAGAAAGTGGAATTTGTTGTATACTTAAATTCAACTGAATGTGAGCTCCAATGTATATGTCGGTTGTTTGAGTTTAGAGGTATTATGTGTGTCCATTCACTATGTGTGCTCATTGAGAGATCTATATATGAGGTGCCAAATATACATTGTTTTGAGATGGAGAAAAGGCTTGGAAAGAGGGTACACATGCATTCAAACCATATATACTAACTTTGGGTCTGCTCTAAATCCAAAGTTGCATGATAACTATCACAACACGTTGGATGAGATCCTAGAACTTGCGATCAATGATGATGGTAAACACAAAGTGATTCAATTTGGATTGATGAAAATCAAGGATGAAGTGAGAACAGTTCAATCAGGTAGTGTGAGTAATGTGCCATGTACTAGTACTTTGCCACCTTCAACTAGTACTTTACCACCTTCCCATACTTCACCGAAAAGTCCGCCTGGTCGCAATACTACAAAAGAAAGCATGACTTGCAAGGTACTCAGTCCTTTGGTTGCTCGTCGAAGAAGCCATCCATGTACGAAACGGAAGATTAGCAAGGTTGATGCAATAGTGAATTGGTTGAAGGGAAAGAATAAGAAAGCTAATTCGGTACAGGTAAATTTTTAATTTCGCACTACATATGTATGTTTCAAAATTTGTTAAACTTAAAATATTCATCAATGTCTGGTATTATAGGGTTACAAGGTGCGTCAAGGTGAACCTCGCAAGTTAAGTTTTCCTTTTACGAGAGGCGTGCAACGCACTATATATGAACCGGTATACGAAACGGAAGATTAGCAAGGTTGATGCAATAGTGAATCGGTTGAAGGGAAAGAATAAGAAAGCTAATTCGGTACAGGTAAATTTTTAATTTCGCACTACATATGTATGTTTCAAAATTTGTTAAACTTAAAATATTCATCAATGTCTGGTATTATAGGGTTGCAAGGTGCGTCAAGGTGAACCTCGCAAGTTAAGTTTTCCTTTTACGAGAGGCGTGCAACGCACTATGGTCAAGTTTGGCTAAACAAAATAAGTGCACTTATTTCATCTTTTTATCTTTTTTGGGTCACATCAATCAACATCTCCTCTCTACTTTTTTTACACATAATACAATAAAAGTTAAAAAGTACACTTATTTAGTCT